CCGTCCGTCCGCGGTCTCCGGTGACTGGCGGTCCGGGGCACGCTAAGCATTATCCCCGTTTAGGCACCGTCCTTCTCACTGGGGCGGGCGAGGGGTGAGGCTGCCCTAGGCCTCGTGTCGCTGTAGGCACGACGGAGGCATCTCTTGCCGGGAGCGGAGTTGTAGCCCCTGTCAGGGTCGAATGAGAGTAAAGGGGTTTATTGTGTGAAAAATAAAGCAGCGGTGTGGAAAGCTCCTCACAGTCTTCAGAATACTGCTTTATTTAATGCTGGATACCTTCCGTTGCAAGCTGTCCTGTTTCTCGTGTGTGTAAATGAAGAGAAACTGAAAACACTTTTTAAACTCTTCGTTTTGAAGAAAAGGCTCAGGGAGGATCTTGGAGCAGCTTCCAGTGCCTAAAGGGGCTGCACGACAGCTGGAGAGGGGCCTTAGACAAAGGGCATGTAATGACAGTACCAGGGGGAATGGGTTTAACCTGACAGAGGGAGATTCAAGTTAGGTACAAGGAAGGAACTCTTCCCTTTGAGGATGCTGAGACATTGGCACAGGTTCCCCAGAGCAGCTGTGGCTGCCCCATCCCTGGCAGTGTTCAAGGCCAGGCTGGACGGGGCTTGGAGCAACTTGCTCTAGGGGAAGGTGCCCCTGCCCATGGCAAGGGGTTGGAACTGTATGAGCATTACGGTCCCTTCCAACCCAAACCAGTCTGAAATCGCACAGAAAGCTGTAATAATATTTCACTGCCCGTGTTTCCAGGCCGTTATTCCAGTCAGTCATCACGAAGTGAATGCTTTATGTTACAACTATCAGTTGGCATGCATAAGTAATCTTCAATTAGTGGCTAATAATACAGGCTTCCACAGAAAATTCATAGTCTGTACGTTTTGCCGTAAGCCTTTCAGTGTCAATTCCCTGAAAGGCAGACAGCTGGTTTGCTTGTGTTGCACTTGCTTATGCTAGCAAAGACTTGATTATCATTTGTTCCAAGGATCCAGTGTTATGCTATGGCAGCATGAACTGATTTTGTAGTAGCCACATGGCAAGTGACATAAAAGAGAACCAGTTTCCAAAACATCAGCTGGTAGATGTTGGGAAACTGATTGCCACCTCCATCAATGTGTCTTATGATCTGTATCTAGTACAAGCAATTCTCCAGCTGCAAAAGGCTGTGACAGAGAATTCCAAAGTTGGTAAAGTTTGTGACAGTTGTATTTAATTTTAGCTTTTGTCTTACCATGTTCACCCCCAGCTCCCAAATGCGTGCTTGTAATTCACTTTAGAACTTGCCTGCTTTGGCTGTGTGTGGATTTGGAAGTGGGGTACGTAACTGTGTGCTTCTGAGGAACCATTTCCAGTTTGGGTATTGCCACTATAAAGTAAATTAAATACATAAACAGGGACTCTTTGAGTATCTTTATGCAGAAAAAAAAAATCTCAATCTATTTTATGAATATTTGTTTATTAGTTGAGTTGTGTGCATGTTGTTCCATAAACCATTGTGGTACACAACAAATTGAGAAGTTAGGGAGGGGTATTTATGTCGTGTAAGGTGAATGAATGATATTGAGAGTCAGACAATTGGAGCATAATTCTGCAGTTTTCTAACTGGAAAAGTCTTTACCTTGACATGGTGCGTTTCTTTTCCTCTAGTTTGCAAGTCATGTGCAATCCGGAGATTTTCCATCCAGCCTGCCCAACAGAAGAAGATTCCAAACCGGTATTTGGGCCAGCCCAGCCCTTTCACACACCCTCACCTCCTGAAACCAGGTTAGGTTCAGGCTCTGAATGAGCCAGTCATTGTTATTCTTTCTGGTCTGTATTTTTCTAAGATTTCTAGGACACAGTATTGATTTGCTGCATCGTAAGAGGTATATGTGGTTTTGTCTGTTTATGATTAGCTTCATTAGTCAGTAGTTATATTTAGTAGCTCCTTTCCTTGTCTGAGATTATACTGATTCCAGAAACAGGCTTCAACATGGTACCTTTTACCTTTTTCTCATGGAGTGCTCAGTGTCACTTGCGTGGGTAGTGCAGACTTTTCATGGCAGTGGCATTTTGTGAGCTTGTTGTCCTGCAAATACATATGATTTATGTTAGGGGGAGACTTTTGTGCAAGCTGAACTGCCAGAATCCTTCATATCCAATGTCTTGTGAGTCAAAAACCAGAGGTGTCATTCAGAAAAGGAGACTGGGGAGAAACTGATAGATGGACACCACTGGACTAAAGAACATGTCCCCTTCAGAAGAGTTTTCAAGCAGTGAGGAAAAGAAGAAAAAGAGGTTTGTGGCTATGAAGTTAGATGGTAGTGGTGAAAGAGATGCTGAGGTTGTGCAGTTTTTTGAGGTTAATGAAAATGAACACGTAGGTATGAGATGACCATGATTAAATCTAAAACAAAAATAAAAAATGATAAAATTATATTCAAGAATATACCCAGGAGACTATTCTTGTCCTGTGTTCTTCTTCCATAGATAGGTATACAGGGAGAACAGATTAATATATTATGATATACTGGTATATTTGATTGTAGAATTATTCGAGTCAGAAGGAACCTCACAAAGTTAACCCTCTGCTCAAAGCCAGGCTAACTTCAATAGTGGATAAGGTTGCACTGATTAGCAGCTCACAGTAAGTGAGGTTGCCCCTTTAGAAGAACTCACAACTGAAACACTCCAAGTGAATTCTAGTTGTCCATAGTAATTTTCCATTTAATGAAGGAGCTATGCTTTCCTTAAAATAATACTTTTTTTACTACAATTATTGTTTTAAAAAGCAAATGCCTTTAAGGCAAAGAGAATTTTCAGGCCTCACAGTTGGAAGTCAAATGGGAATCCCATGTTCTGCCCTATTGCAGCTTCTAAGCTTCACTGAGCTGTTGTAGTTAGAAAGCTGACTGGAATGCAGTGCAGCATGGGAAATTAGCAGTATATTACTGCAGAAATGTAAGGTCAGATTGCATTGAAACAGTTTCTGTGTTCTCTGGGATTTCCAGATCTACAGAGTAAACCAAATATGGTGGTTTTGATGCTTGATATGTTTTGTTGTTTTGGCTTTGGCTTTGTTGTTTGGTTTGGTTTTTTATGTTTTTTTAAGATTTTTATGCCAAATAAGTGTTCAGATTTTGAAAAGGTGAAAATTTTAATGCAAATTCAGTGCTGTGATTTTCTTAAACACTTTTGTCAAGGAAAAACTTCATGGATAGAACTTCCTCTTCTCACCCCACTCATGCAAGAATTCACTTGCAGTACAAGTTAAATTTCAATTTTTATTCTGTAATTGTCACTGCACAATTCATTAGAGGAAAATAAGATTATTAAATTAGAAGGTTGACAGTATGAAAATGCAGTCTGTGTTAAAACAGGGTATTAGCCAAAGTACTGATTAAGGCTTCTGTATTAATTTAGATCATAGTTAAGGAGTCTCACATTTTAAAAAATACATACTTCAGCAGCTGTTGGTTGTTCTTTCAACTTCAGTCTGGTTTTGGAGAGTATCTTGATCGTTGTACTTCATATCTTGGGACTGGAGCAGTTCAAAATGGACTTCCATCTAAAAGATCATTTATGTAATTAGAACCGTTAGAAATGCAGCATTTAACTTTGGAAAAATCCCAATTTTTTATTACTGAGCAAAGCTACATCTGCCCTGGAGAGGCTTTTTTCTCTTAACTGGAGTCTGACACCAGCCTGCAGTTTGTGGTTTGTTTCTGCCTGGAGTCCTGTGACTGGTTAGACTCTGCAACCTCTGTGTCTCGTGCCTCATCTCCCTGGTTACTTTATGACTTGACTTAGTGTGTATTTGAATAGACATTCTAGCTTTATCTGAGGAAATTCATGCTCAGCCTCAGGAGGTAATCTGTTCAATGTCCAGATGCTATAAACCCCATCAGTTGTCAGCAGTCAAAGTTCAGTTTGCCTTGCCCCTTCCCCTTTTTTTTACTTGTCTCTCAGCAAACATTCCTCTGATTTGAATGTTTGTCTAAATCTACCAGGTTTTGTGATTTCTGCCTTTGTGCACAAACACGTAACAGAGAATTCGATTGGTTAAAACACGTTTCTGTCTTTGCATGATGGAGGAGCAGTTGAGTGAGGATGTGCTGTAGGGATGGAAGCTGAAAAGGTGCATGGGAAAGCAATGGAAAGGCTTGTGAGGGATTACAATGAAGCCATCATTCATAAAAGGCATCAGGGAGTACGCATGCAACTAGTAAAATACAAATGCCTTGAATTTCTCAATCTGATTTGGTTTTTATTCATAGGAGAAGTAACCCCAGGATTGTCACAGGTGGAATATGCTCTTCGCCGGCACAAACTGATGGCATTGATCCAGAAGGAAGCCAATGGCTGGGATGGGTTGGACCACACAGTGATTCTGCTGTCCAATCCCACCTACTACATGAGCAATGACATCCCCTACGTTTTCCACCAGGACACTAACTTCCTGTACCTCTGTGGGTTCCAGGAGCCTGACAGCATCCTGGTGCTGCAGAGCATTCCTGGCAAAGCACTACCATCCCACAAATCCATACTTTTTGTGCCCCGGAGAGATCCAAGCCGAGAGCTGTGGGACGGGCCCCGATCAGGCCCCGATGGGGCAATTGCTCTCACAGGAGTAGATGAAGCTTACACCATGGAGGAGTTCAGGCACTTGGTGGCCAAGCTGAAAGGTAACAGAAAATGGAGGGGGAATGAGACGAGATGCGGTTTGCAAGGTCTGATGGTATATGTTTGAAAGGTGGTCTGTGATGCCAATTCAAGACTATGATGAACTTTCAGAGGTGCAGGGGATATGACAGTATGACAAAGGCTGTTGGAAATTCTTGTTAGCTTCTTGAGGGTCACCAATGGAAATGGAGTTTTGAAAATAGTAGTTTTTCCTCCCCTCTGAATTTCCTGTGAATCCATTTGAGTGCCAGTTGCACATCTGTGAAATAAAAGGAGCACGGTAAGTAACAGATCATCTCAAACCATATTACTGTTTTAGTCATGTCTTTTGCTGACAGAGCCAGAACCAGATGAAGTGTAGGAAACTTGAAGCTATTTTATTCATAATAGACTTGGAAAATGATCCACACAGGAAGGTTGTTAGCCCACTCACCTTTTTGTCTAGATGTTGAGTTATGAACATTGCTGTCCTTTAGATGGGTTCTTCTGCATCTAAGCTCACCATGTATCCTCAATATTTACAATCCAGGGTGAACTTAAATGCATTAGAAATTGAAGTTGAAGGCTTATGACAATATAAAAAGGGCAAGTGCTTGGGATATTACACAAATAAATAGAGTGAATTCTGGAGTCTTAAATACCATCTTGGATTCTAGTTATTTTGTTTCAAAAAAGGATATATTGAAAATAGAAAAGTCACAGAAAGGGCAATAAGGATGATCAAAACTATGGAGAGATACGTGTGTGTGAGATACGTGCTGAACAAACCTGCTCAGTTTGAAAAAGAGAAAATGGAAGGTAAGGTGTGTAAGAGAGATGTGTAAAGTTAAGGAAAGTGCCGATAGGATGAGTAGGAATAATTAGTTACTATTTTTGTTAATTTACAAGCAAAGGGAACACTGAATAAAATGGTCACATGGCAGGTTTTGACACCTTTTAAGTTGTAGGTCATTCATGGAAGGTTTGGAATGTCAGAAGTATAAATGGATTCTGAAGTGTTTAGTTCCACAGGGGAGAGGTCCATGATAAGCAGTTCATTGCTGTTATGAAGATGCAGCCTTGAAATCAAGAAACCAGAAATGGGGAGGATGTGCGATGTGCTAAGGGAAATACTCTTTTGCCAGTGCCCAGTTTCTTAGTAGACATTAGCTGCAACTCAGCATAGGTTTTCTACTAAATTCAAATGCTCCTGTGGGGAGAATGTGAGTGCTAACTCTGATGTTCTAAATAAATTTCCGTATAGGTAAATATGTTTGTCCTCAGTAAGTTCATCTTCTCTGAATGGCTGAAATAAGTAGATTCCATATGATGGGTAAAAGATAAATTGCCTTACAGCTTTGGGGGGGCAGGCTAAACATGAGACTGATGCAGAATATGCACCACTGTAGTGCAGTGGCTACTTAGCTTGTACAAGTACAACTTTGATATGCAAAGTCTGAATGGATCTATGCAAGACACATGTATTCAGTGATAGTTGTAAAAACCAGTATTTGCATAGAGGTGGGGATTTGTACAGTCTACATGCTACGAACTGGTAATCTTCCAGATTTTGAAGAGATCACTAGTATCCTGCGACAGTGAAAGTGTCTGTCTGGTCTGTAAATGCAGATTCAGAGGAAATTAATTTCTCAAATATGGCAACAGGTCTAGTTTAGGAGGAGTGAGTTTGTTCAGTATTGGGAGGACATTCTTCATTTATTTTGGTCTGTTTCAGCTTTTATTTTGTATTCCAGGTGAGTCCAACATTGTTTGGTATGACTTGGCAAAACCAGCGCATACAGAGCTGCATTCTGACTACCTGCAGCCCCTGGCTGAGATAAAAGCTCGAAACAAAAACCACATCCAGCGCATCCAACATCTAGTGCAAAACCTTCGTCTGATCAAATCTCCTGCAGAGATTGAAAGGATGAAGATAGCTGGGCGGGTGACGGCAGAGGTATGGGGTCGTGTGGTCTCCAAATGAACGCATTCCTTTAAAGAAGAAAGGGGAGAGACCTATTGATGGAGTGACACGGGTTGGAAGGATAGCTTTGGTCTAATGTGTTACTGAGCTGCTGTGCCTTAACCATTGGCTGGGCTCCGCTCCCTCAACATGACAAGGAGAAACAGGAAGCTGCTTGGACTACCAGCTTCTCTCAATTAGTGTAACTCCTGCGAAGACAAGCCAGCAGCTATTGGACTTTCTTTAAAAGCAGTATCTATTCAGGAACAGGGGTAGCCTCTTCGCTCTCTTCCCAGCTTCACCTCTTCTTCCTCATGCCATTTGCTTTCCCATTTATCCTGTTGATTTTTAGGAGTTGGGATTTTGTGAACGCATTGTCTGTCTTTGTCTGCATATTACCCCTTCTCCCTCAAATATCATTTGAACTCACTGGCCAATTTGAAACAAATCTGACAGATACCACAAATGCAATGATGTTTTTGTAATTATTATTAAAATAGGTAGCCAGATAGAAAAGAGAGGCACATCCTGTCATTCTCAGAAGGAAAAGCTGCATAAGGCACTCCTATTTACATGAGGGAATCCGTAGGTGAGGCAACTCGTAAAATGCCAACCCATGGGATCAGCTTCAATCATCTAATCCTTTTTCAAAAACTACAGTCAATCAGACCCTAAATACAGTTTCACAGGGAACAGAACTTGATTGGTTCTTGTCTTGGCAGCACTCTGCATTTTCAGCTGCTTCTGGTTCCTGTGTCTGGGCCAGCTGATTTTAGGCCTTCCTCAAAAGACAGCAGGTAAAAAAAAAAGAACTTCCTTCAAATTCAGGTTTCTTTGCTAACTGAAAGACCCTTCTTTTTCATAGGCTTTCACAGAGACAATGTTTGCCAGCAAATCCCCAGTGGATGAAGCCTTTCTGTATGCAAAGGTGAGTAGTTTTGCAGTTGGATGTGAGATAGAAGGGCTGGATGTTGGTTAGCCTTCCAGGAAACAAGAAATGTCAGGTCTCTATAATATGCCTCCCACTATAGCATATTTCTCCTTTACCCAGGTCATTTGGTTCCTTCACCCAAATACAAGTGGAAATGTCAGTGTGAGGAATTCTTCAGTTGTACTTCTTGTACCCTTATTGAAGGAACGTAGTGGTTGCCTAAGTTTAATCTGCTAGTTATGTCTTTTTCTACTGTATTTAAATACAAAACCTTCTAAACCATGAGAGAGAAAATTATTCTGTAATACACTTCTATTGTGCAGAATTTAAGTAGTTATAACACCTGTTTCTAAAGCCTGCTTCTCTTAACTCTAGCCTCTTACTACATCAGATTACCACAGCTGTCTTGAAGCAGTGTAGTTGCACCTTTTACAAAATAAGGACTAATTGGCTGGCACATTTAGTAAGGAATTCTGTAAGGAATTGCAGTGAGATGCCTGTTTTAGAAACATTAGCAGGATTTGGCCCTCTGTTACGACATAGATGGGCCTGTGCTGACACAGCACTGAGCAGCAGTACTGACTTGTAAAGAAAATTATTTTAATTAAAGATTATTACAGATAATTTTTTCACTCCAGGTCAAGGTTGTAACGCCTACTTTACTACATGTAGGCATCCTGGAGTGTTCTGTTCCATGTGGTTTTGGTAATTATAGAAAAGATGTGTTATTAATAGATTGAGGATATAGAGGATCTTTATAGATGTAAGTTTATTAATTTCCATGCTTTCATCAGCTTCATCATTTCAGAAAGGTAAAGGTCTTGAGGCTTACAGTGCCTTTTTTTTCCATTTGGACATTAAGGTAATGCATGCTTTCAACCCTTCTCAGTTCAATAGTCATGTAAATAGATGCTACTGTAAATATGCTGGTACTCTGTAAAAAAGACAACCACAAAACATGAATGTTGTCATGCTGACATTTAGGATCTTTGAAAATTCGCAACTAACAGCGTTACTTTATGTAAGATCAAATCCTCACCTGGATTTGTGACAATGTAATGAATAGTACAGTATTGAATAGCTTGCACCAGAAACAGCTTAAAACACTGTCTTGAAAAGTGGATAGTTCTGTATCTTTTTTTCTCCACTGTTCTTGAAAAAACATCAAAGCTGCTTTCATTCAGTGAATTCACTTTCCGGTTTCACTTTGTGTTGTACAAATTAAGCAGCCAGTTGTAGGACATAAATTGTAATAGAACCAGGGTAGTTAATCAGCACTAACAGTTTCCTTCTCTCTGAATTGATATTCCAGTTTGAGTTTGAGTGCCGGGCTCGTGGTGCTGACATCTTGGCATACCCCCCTGTTGTTGCTGGTGGCAACAGATCAAACACTTTGCACTATGTGAAGAACAATCAGCTCATCAAGGTATGTGCTGTTTAGTAACTTAAAATGCAGTCCACACCATCCTATACATGTCCTTTGTTTTGACTGAACAGATCAAACCACTTTAACGTATTTTTTCAACTGAGAGGGGAAAGGAATCCTTTCCTGGTTAGTTTTACTGTCAGTGACGGATTAACTTCACTCACGTAGTCTCTTTCTGTCCTCTTTGCGCTTGCTGCAGTATTTCCTAACAGTGGAAGGACTTGTGAACAAGCTTGCACATCACTTCAGTTATCGAGCATATCTGCTCCCACACTGGACGGGTTGTAACCTCACAAAAGAGGAAGAAGGGACTCCTGCAGCAGGCAGAGCAAAGGCACTGTTGGGGGTCGTCTGCTGTCACTTACATTGCTTGGCCATGCTTTGCAACAGAAGGCGCAATAGT